GATTCGAACCCGCGACCCTCAGATTGCGAGTCGAGTGCCCTAACCACCTGGCCATGCCGGGCTACTTAAGGTAACAATAATATAGACTAGCGTTTCCCAAACTATGTTCCGTCCGAGATTCATGGGTGCTCCGTGAGAAAATCATGATTTTACATTTTAATAAAATATTTAACACTTTTTGTACGATCATAACTTATTATGAAATATTTTCCTATGTATTAGAATTAGATAATATCGATTTCACATTGAAGAATAATTATAGAAGATGTCATATCTATTCCACATAATACCTTAGTGGAGAGGTTTGTATCGGAAATATATTATAAGCATTCAAATGTAAAAATTCATTAATATGTAATTTGATTAAAAAAATAAATGAATAATATACAAATCTAGAGGACGCTGCGCGCTCAACATACCGTCTACACCGATATTTCACGTGTCTAATATTCCGTAAGCTTTTTCTTAGCTGAAAAGTGTTCCGTGGCCAAAAAAGTTTGGGAAACGCTGATATAGACTAACAGATGTGATGGAATTCACATTTCGTTGTAAATACTTTTAACATTAATTAGTTATTCCATTACGGATCTCAACATTGTAGCTGTTTAAACATATAACATTTCGGGAATATGTTTGCTTGTGACAAGTCACTGCCCAGGATGTTTTTTGTACACAGTATCAGGAATCATCGGGTGTGCTGGAGCTATAGTTATTTGTAGGGAATACAAGGAAAAATATAAAGTCCACTGAATAAGGATAACATGTGTAACAACAATAACAAATGCTCGTCTGACAGAAGATGGTTTTAAAATATTCTTTTAATTGCACAGTAGTTTTAGACACTTTTGCAGTCAAGCTTTATTTTTTGACAATTTTGTTAAGCCTAGTTGGCTTCTTTGATTCGCCAGCATAGACGTTTTGAATCACAAATTCATATTAATTATGATATAAGTCACGCAATTTTAATATGAAGCTTAACATAATATTTTCTTATTTTATCAATCAAACAATAATTTGTTTATAGCTATATTTCTAAAATAATTTCTCAAACCTTCACAGAGGTCACCAGTGTAGCCAGGCCGACAGGAACAGAAGAATGTGTCGAGACTAGGCCAGCAGCTGCCGCTGTTCTGACAGGGATTTGGGAAACAAGGGTTGTAATGCTGAGTGCAGCCTGCTCCTGTCAACAGATATAATCTGAATTTATTAATCTATTATGATAATATTCAGTTTTTGTCTATCCCGAAACTTCATGCGCGCACACTTCATTTCAACGGATGTAAATATACTTTAGAAGACATTTTGTACAACAGCATTTTAAAAGCTTATAAAAATTTTAAAAAAAGTCTAACATTATAAGCTTATTTATTGATAACTAGGTACTGTAACGTTGAGGCTTAACTAAAAACGTACACAAGTTACCGTGTTAATTTATCTCTTTATCGAATAAAGACCGTACCTAATAAAGGCTTAACTAAAGTAAGGCGTAAAACAAATGGACTTGTTGATTTCGGTGTCTGCGATTAGAATTCTTTTGTATTATTCAAGATATCTCGTATTCAAAGAAATACTGTTACAATAAAGATACCAATTTGATCGCAAATGTTTTGCATGTCTCTGCTAGTTATGTATTAAAAGCAAACATTCCCTAATTGTTAAGTCGTTACTTTTTATATACACAGTCTTGTTTACATATATAAGCTAACTATAAATAGGCCTCAAGTTATGGACTCCTTCTAGGGTATATTGTTGACATTACTAACGATATAGGCATGGCCAAGTGGTTAGAACACTCGACTCGCAATTTGCGGGTCGCGGATTAGAAATCCCGTTCCAACAAGCATGCTTGCCCTTTCAGCCGTGGGGGCGTTATAATGTGTCAGCCAATCCCACTATTCGTTGGTAAAATAGTAGCCCAAGAGTTGGCGGTGGGTGGTATTGACTAGCTGCTTTCCCTCTAGTCTTTCACTTCTAAATTACGACGGCTAGCGCAGGTAGCTCTCGTGTATCTTTGCGCGAAATTCAAAACCAAACAAAATTAGCGATATTTGTTAATTCAATACCTCCTCTACACGTAATACGTGGATTTACTTCTAGTTGATCAAAGTCCGGTCATATTCGATGTATCAGAGGGTACCGAGGTACAATATCTGCGGAATTTATTCCTCGTGTAGCTCGAGAAAAAAAATACCCATTCATGGTGAAGATATGACGTAAAAGTAGAATCACACGACAGCAAGAAACTGTAACAATTATTTTAATAAAGCTAGTTTCATAGATTCATTGGTAATTTAATCCTCCTGGCTCTCTATGAGCAATATCGGTACTACTGTAAATACTTTGCTCCGAAGTAATGGGTCGTTTTTTTGTTTACGTTTTTCATACGTCATACGCGTACCTAGTAAGACATCTAGTGAGTATTTCTTGGATATAAAAATAATTGAAAACATGTTAATGGTGTTTTAAATGCCCTCTTGTGAGGAAAAAAAAACATACTTTAGACTTTGTGTACAAATTTAAGTAGTAAAAAAAGCTAAAGTCGAGCTATTTCAACTTTTTTTTTGGCTGAAAGAAAAGTATTTTATGAAATGTTTGAGTAATTTGCTGTCTGCTAATCACAAAAAGGGAATACAAGCAGGTGACTTACAGAACCACGCCTTCTGCATATCAACTAATCAGTATAAACTGAGCCAGAAACGTTGTTGTTTTGTTGTATTATCAGCGTAAAGTTTACAATGGTTTGTTTGTTTCTTTGTTTTTGAAATTCGCGCAACGAATAGTGGAATTTACCGTCACTTTATAACGCCCTCACGCCTGAAAGGGCGAGCATGTTTGGTGCGATGGGGATTCGAACCCGCTACCCTCAGATTGCGAGTGAGCGCCCTAACCACCTGGCCATGCTGGGCCCATGTTATAGGTAGAAATATAAGATTTAAGCACGACTTGATTATTACATAATTAGATACTTCACTGAATAAAACTTATTTGACAGCTAACTTATAAAACGACACGAGAGAGCCAAGGACATACCATTATAGCCTGAATGACAGATACAACTGTAATTGTTGCCTCTGTCCACGCACTGTGCTGGACTAGGACAAGGGTTAGGGCTACAAAGGTTTACTTTAATCTGACATCGTTTGCCTTTGTAGCCTGGACCACAGTGACATTTGTAACTCGCTACCAGGTCTTCGCATGCTCCTCCGTTGACACAAGGGTTAGAATCGCACTCGTCGTACTCGAACTCACAGTGATCACCTCCAAAACCTGTGGATTTGTACAAAGCTGGCTTACAAGAAAATTTAACATTAAAATGAACACATAACATGCATTAAGGAGATTAATATTTGCAGGTTATACACTGTTAATCTAAAGGGTAAAAAAGACTGAAATGTGTATAGCTGTAAGTAAGGATTAAGCTAGATGTATTTCCTCAGGGTCCCCGAAAGTGTTCTGTTTTTTGTTTCTTTATTTGAAGTTAAGCACAAAGCTACATAATGGACTATCTATGTTCTGCCCACCATGGGTATCAAAACCCGGTTTTTAGCATTTAAGTCCGCAGACAAGAGTAACAAATACTTTTATTTCTTGCTTTTGAAGTTCATATGTCATGCTGTGTTGTAGCCTATAGAGTGCACAACTCTTAATTATTCTCGTGATTCATGGTATGTGCTTGTTTTACTGACGTCACGATAGTACAAATTGCAACGTTAAGCGTTTCTTATGTGACGTAGTGCTGTGGTGCGAGTATTTAAAACATGTGACCCCCTTCAGGCGGCCTTCTGTGCCCTTTCGAGGAAACTAAGCAAATTCGAAAGTCACAAAAGAAGCTATTACCAATACGCGTTGTCACCAATCGATAAGGGAAACAGTGACCGTATGACATTTAACATTTCTAAGTAAATATGTTTATATACATACAATCTGTATTTGAGAACTTTGTCAGTGCATATGATAATGAAATTAAGATTCAGCTTTGCGAGTACTCGTTATATAATTGCAAGTCTAAAATTAATACAACTTATCGTTAAGGAAGAGAACATTCAGTGATGACAAAGGCAAGCTTACCCGGTAGACAATAACACGTGAATACTCCTTTACCATCTTCACATACCCCGTGGACACAAGGGCCGGACAGACACTCGTTAATATTCGTCTCACAGTTCTGACCAGCGAACCCTTTTGGACAGTCACACCAGTAGTTTGTTTCATTTCCCCAGCAGGTGGCGTTATTAAAACATGGCTGTTCATCACATCGACTTTTGTTAACCACAAAGTCACTTTTGGAACCCTTAGATTTCTGGTCCAATACGTTAACCACAAGGCCACATTTGGAACCCGAAACCCTAGAATTGTTAATCCAATATGTTATTATTATGTACACTGGTTTAATGCACCCTAAACTGTCGATAGTGAAACATTAATACAGAAATTTTAGAAGATCGTAGTATAAATACGGACCTTAGATAGTCCACCCATAATTAACAATCTAAAATACATAATCTACGGACTCTTGGTTGACCTGGTCCCCGAAAAATCCAGTGTAGGATCGAAATGTTCAAATGAATGTAAAGAAACGGGAAATGGCTAAAAGATAAAAGTAAAGGGGGGAATCTGTTTTGAAATCGATACAGTGGGTATTTCTATATATATGCCTAAATGAAAATGTTTCTGCAAAAGTTACAAACTGCTGTAGGCTTGAACATGACGTTTCCATGTACTTGACTACATATACATGTATTAGTCTACATGATTCTCTGTTTCTCTACTGTTTATATATATATATATATCACTTTGTGATTAATATTGCATGCACAAAATATGCCCTTGGGAAATAATATATTATAATAGATCTCATAGAAATACGGTGTAACAGCACGATATATCACAGCTATGCGTAAGAGTGAATATTCCACACGTGCATTTCCTTAATTGAATGGGCGTTGTCACTTTTCCTCGAAAGCATTACTCTTAAGTAGAGGAGGTTTTTGTGTACAGAACAACAGCAACCGAATGGTTTTAACCACATTTTTGTTATTAGTTTCTATACCGAGTTATTTGGGCTCCAATTTCAGATGGAAATATCACTGATATTTAATAAATGTATTTAACAAAGCATGTAATGAGTGCACAGTTTCAGATGGAAATATCACTGATATTTAATAAATCTATCTAACAAAGCATGTAATAAGTGCACAGTTTCAGTTCACTCATTTAAGGATTCTATAAAACTACCCTTCCTACTAAAACATTTAAACCTGATCTAAGGATTCTATAAAACTACCCTTCCTACTAAAACATTTAAGCCTGATCTAAGGATTCTATAAAACTACCCTTCCTACTAAAACATTTAAACCTAATCTAAGGATTCTATAAAACTGCCCTTCCTACTAAAACATTTAAGCCTGATCTAAGGATTCTATAAAACTACTCTTCCTACTAAAACATTTAAGCCTGATCTAAGGATTCTATAAAACTGCCCTTCCTATTAAAACATGTTAAACCTAATCTAAGGATTCTATAAAACTGCCCTTCCTACTAAAACATTTAAGCCTGATCTAAGGATTCTATAAAACTACTCTTCCTACTAAAACATGTTAAACCTGATCTATGGATTCTATAAAACTACCCTTCCTACTAAAACATGTTAAACTGCGAATATGATTAGAGCGAACTGGTTTACTTCCTTGTATACTGATCATAAACCGCAATGTTGTGTAATCTCGTTTTCGTATTCCTGCTTTGAAAGGATATCGTGGTCTGACGTGTGAAAAGGATATTAGACTAGAATTCTAAGGGTTCCAAATGTGGCCTTGTGGTTAACGTATCGGACTGGGAAGCCAATGGTTACGGGTTCTAAATGTGGTCTTGTGGTTAACGTATTGGACTAGATATCTAAGGGTTCCAAAAGTGACTTTGTGGTTAACGTATTGGACTAGAATTCTAAGGGTTCCAAATGTGGCCTTGTGGTTGACGTATCGGACTGGGAAGCCAATGGTTACGGGTTCTAAACCTGGTCTTGTGGTTAACGTATTGGACTAGGGATCTAAGGATTTGGGGGCCGAGAGGTGACGCTACTAAACACTCTTCACACTTTCAGCTCTAGGTGTGTTATAAGAGTGACAGTTAATACTGCTATTCAGTTAAGAGCAACCTCCACAGGCGGCGGATGCTGCTGACTGGTTGCTTTTCCTCTTTTCCGACAGTTTAAAATTAGGGACGGATGTCTGAATCATAGGGGGGGTCTCAGATGAGTAGATAGCACACCAGTTGTTTCTAAGACGAAAACCCAGGATTTAATCCGGGCACATTAGTAGCTCGATCTAATTATTAATTAGACTTATATGATCGTACAGACTAGTAACCACAAAAAATATTATTGATGTTTCTCAGTTAAATATGATGCAAATTATAGAATATTCTCTCATAAACATTTTCATTCGTATATAAAATAAAGGGAAAAATGGTTAAAACAATATCTTTAGAGGGTGCGTGTGTGTTTTCTTGTAGCAAAGCCACATCGAGCTATCTGCTGTGTCCACGAGGGGAATCGAACCCCTGATTTTAGCATAGTAAATCCGAATACGTACCGCTGTCCTACTGGGGGGACATCTTTGGAGGGTATGATTGCACAAAGATAATTTACTGATTTGGATGTCGTTTACATTTTTTTTAATTGATAATTTCCAAATATGAAAGGGGCCTAGTAAATAAGCGAACACTTTATGAAACGTGTATTTCACGTATTGTAATTTATAAAAAAAAATATTATTGTATTTGTTATTCTTTGAAAACAACAACAATACGTTTTAACACCCCTGTCCAATGTGCTTAAGGAATAAAAGTAATAAAAGGTACCAATATTCACGATGTTAGAAAAACACGTAGGTTCAAGAAGTCTTGAGAGAAATTAATGAAAGCCCTATAACCCGAGCGCTTTCGAAAGGTGGACCTTTCTTCTTCAGGGGCAAACTGGGAATGTTTGTTCTGAATGTTAAACTTCTTATCTGTGCCTAGTTGATCTGAAGGCGCAATGCTTTCGAAACTTTATCAAGTTTACTTGTGCTACCTTTACAGGTCTTTCGTCCTCCAGTATTATCTCTACAGTCACCACCGCCCGTTTTGTCTTTGTATCGTTTAGTGTTAAACCATAAAAAAAAACTATTTTCATATTTTTCATGCAAGTTAAGCGAAAATATTTACCGTGAGAACATAAGCAACGGTAGCCAGCGTTTCTAATCCCGTCTGTTACGTCGAAACAAGATCCACCATTTTTACATGGGTTGTCATGGCAACCATCCAGTTCTTCGCAGTAACGGCCTTTGAAATTAGGACAACACTGACACGTGAACGACCTCTGTAATAAAATAATAAAGTTATGGAACCTCAGACAAATCGTCCTTAATGTAGACGTCAAGAGAAATATAACTGTTTAGACAAAAAAACAACTCAAGTTTTTAGTGTAAAGAAAACCAAGTTTTATTTCATATCTTGAACAACTTTGCGGTAGAGTTATTTTGTTTTCAATAAAAATAATAATAAAAAACACTGTGCCGTTTCAGCCTATAGGTGCGTGTCGTCTTCAGGTAATGAATAATTAATAACAGTTACAATTATAATATGCAGTCAATCAAGTGACTAAACACAACTAGGATTTGTTTGTAAAAGATAATATTCACCAGCATTCTGCTGACAAGTGGATTTGAGGTTCTAAGGTTCGTGTCCCGTTACTTAAAAAAAAATCCTACTATTCGATCTGACTGGCGATGGGCAGTGTTAACTAGCTGCCTTCCTTCTAGTCCATCACTTCAATATTAGGGAAGGTCAGCGTACACAGACCTCAGATAACTTTGCGAGAAAAATATAACAAACAAACAAATTCTTGAGAAAATTACATTCATGTTAAACCTTGTCAAGTTATCGACGTTTTGAAATAAATAAGGTCTATTTTAAATCAGGTTAGTGTTTCTTTACCCAATTACTGGCATCTTCAAAACTTTTGATTGTAGACTTTAAGCACCGTTTAAGTATTGTTGGAAACTATTTATAGAATAACGTTACACATTATCCCTGTTTAAGTATTGTTGGAAAATAACTACCCATGGAATAACGTTACTCATTTTTTTGCCGTTTAATTATTGTTGGAAAATACTTATAGAATAACGTTACTCATTTTTACTGTTTAAGTATTGTTGGAAAATACCCATAGAATAATGTTACTCATTCTTAATTGTTTTCTGTGTTAGGTAATGTTCGGTTGAGCGCACTCGTGAGGTTATTTTTAGTTACTGGAACGTTTCCATTTAAAGTGTTTGAAGTTCAAAAGTTTTTTTTTTTTTTCATTTTCATCCTTTATTGCTTATTATTTAACAGATTTTGTATCTTGACTTATGAAAGATAACAATATAAACAACTATTGAGCTTCTAGGTTTCAATAATATGCTCTTATTAACTAAAAAAAAAGAAGAATAACGATATAAAGTTAATGATTATAGGACTGCCAAGTTTCCTACCAAAAGTTGGAGGTGTTTAGTCCACCATATTTATTATTGGCCAGTTTTTTTATCATGAGGATGTTGATGTTCCCATTTATATGCCACTGAAAGTGAGTTTAGGACATCACAGGTAAACAGCACCCAAACTTAGTTTTTCTTTAGTTTCCATGTGATGTCAAGCGGAATCAAACTAAAATATTTTGAAATAATACTTATTCACCTCCGTACTTCCTTTAGTCTTCGGTTGAATTATACGTCGGCGTTTAAGGCAAAGCCGCTAAGGTTATTTGTCGTTGTCCCCAATTTTGAACTATACTGATCAGAGGGAAGGCAGCCAATCAACAAACCTCAACCACCTAAAATCCACTTTCAGGGATTGACTATCACTCTTTTAACACACCCACAACTTAAAGTGCGGAAAATAATGTTTGGTATCGCACAGATTCGAAGTTGGCTCTCCAGCTCCGAATTCTAGAGAACTATTACAGATGAAATTTGACCTATTGTTGCTGATACCGAGTGCTGTTAGGTTTACAACAATTAACTAAAAACGGTTAGGACCGAAAAATGTGAAAAAAAACAAAAAACAAACAAATCAGTCTGCAGAATATATAGTAATACATAACGTTTTATTTTTCGTTCTAGTCACAATTTACTGTGCAACAAGCATGTTTCAGTGTTTCCCACTTTGTATTGGAGATTAGGCTAATTTTTATTTGAGTAGGCTTAACCGCCAAGATATATGAAAATTGTTTGCAACTGGAGTAGTAAGGCAGTCAAACAATACAAAAAACATTATATACTAAAAAGGTTAGCTCGAGATATTGAAATGCTTAACTGTTTATCTAAGGATTTAGCCACGAAGCAGAGTGGCTTAACTAAAGATTTAGCCGCGAAGCAGAGGGTTTTATCTATAGATTTAGTCGTGAAGCAGTGTTTAATCTAGAAATGATTTTACTTAATGCTAACTAGAGTGAGCGTTAGATTCATTTCAACTGCCGCATTTACTAACTTGTAAGTTATGTATTTTTTTCAAAGCAGTCTGTAGAAAGAGATGTATGTTTTAGAAAAAAATAACTAGACATAAAGAAGTCTTGAAATACGAATTTCAGAAATGTACGATATCATTTCCAGAGAAATCAATATGACACTTCCCGTAGTGGGTGAATACAATCTCTTTCATACAAAGTTTGCTTTTCTAAGTCTATTCCTATACTTACTCATTGATGTCACCAAAAACCACCGCAACAACAACAAACCAGCATCCTGTTCAGTAAGCATTTGTTACGGAGTCAGGTAACATTTGAGTGTTTACTGCTTGTTATATCAGGTTTCGATATCCACCATGGGCACAACACAGATAGCCCACAACGAGTATTGAAACTTCATTTCTGACGTCGTAAGCCTGCAGATTTACCGCTGAGCCACTGTGGGGCAAAATTGGAGAACAATGCCAGAATTCTAAATCGAAAGTAACGAAAGCATTAAAACCTAAATAAATCTTGAATGCACAATTAAAACACACTCTTGAAAATCAAGCAAAATTGTTTCATAGACAAATATGACACGGCCAGCGACCATCAAATAAGGGCCAGGCCTGCCCAGGTGGTTAGAGGGCGCTCGACTCGCAATCTGCGGGTTCGAATTCCCGTCAAACCAAACATGCTCGCTCTTTCAGCCGTGGGGACGTTATAATGTGACAGTCAATCCCACTATTCGTTGGTAAAAGAGTAGCCCAAGAGTTGGCGGAGGGTGGTGATAACTAGTTGCCTTCCCTCTAGTCTTACACTGCTAAATTAGGGACGTCTAGCGCAGATAGCCCTCGTGTAGCTTTGCGCAAAATTCATAACAAACAAACAAACCGTCAAATAAATCAAAGACAGAAAGATAATACTAACTGATATGAACACATCATATTCATCCGCAATACTTCAAAACATAAACTTTCTATTGTGTTTATTTGTATGTTTTACGAAATATAATAAGGGCGTCTACTAAACATGGATAAAATGGTTGATGCTACGTAAACGTGTCGTCTTCTCGTATTAATAAAATGAGTACGTTTCTTCTTAACTCGAATTACCAAAATGAATACGCGTTTGAAATGCTAAAAGTTTAATTTTAATTCGTATTGTAAAAATGAACACGTTTAAAGTGCTAAACGTTTCGTCTGAACTCGTATTACCAAAATGAACACGTTTAAAACATGTACATATTTTCGACTTACAGCAACAAAAAACGGAACACAAGTTTTTGCTTTCATAAAATATGCGCAAGGCGTACTTCAGTTAATATCATAAGCATTTAGTTAATTGCCTAATTTAGGAGCTGGAGCAAGAAAATAAAACAAAAAACGATTTAGTTCAGAATGTAAATTGTGATGAAAACGTCCAAAATGATCACATTAATAAACATTTGCATGATTTTTGGAGTTTTATGATGTAAATGTAAAACAAACGTTTTAAAGTTTTGGCTTTCTATCAACTTCTGTTTCCATTAAAATTCAAGAGTGGCGACTTTAATGATTTTGAAGATTCACTTAGTAAAATGTCCTTATCTCGATGGTCATAATGATCTCAGTCATTACATCTCTTCAACAAACAGATCCTGTCAAATCACCTTCACCAAAATATCAGTTTTCTTAAACTGCATATCTTATTTAATAACATTCGGATTACGTATCCAACGTTTATTATGCGCTGGAGAGTGATACCCATTTCTTCCCCTATTCAACCTCCTTTGCGTTACTATTGGTTAAAAAAAGGATAGGATTATTATCAAGCGTGTTAGGTGTTATCATGTTTATCCTTCGTATAGTTAGGCATAGTTTGCCATCTGATTCGTAAGGATAGGCTCATTTACTTAATGTTTTATTAGACGTTTAAAACTATGCTCAATGAAAAAGAAAAATACGCTTCATATCTAGAGCAATCGTTAGAAACAAAATTAAAAGGTACTTGAATATAAAGGGCTTTCATGACGTTGATAATTTTCACAAAGTTTTCTGTAATGGGATTAGTTTTCGGCGTTTTTCATTTTGTTTCGAATATTTGCGCAATGCTTCACAAGGGCTATCTGAGCTTTTCGTTCCTAATTTTGACTTAATAGACAAGAGGGAAGGCAGCTAGTCAATATCACCCACCGCTAACTCTTGAATTGACCTAATCCCACAGTGGGGTTTGACCGTTACTCGTATAACGCACCCACAGCTCCAATGTGCGACGCGCATTTTTTTTCTTTTTGGGGAAACGGGACGTGAACCATGTCTCCTTGATTCCACAGTACAAAACGCTAACCACTAGGTCATGTCCATATCGCCGTTCTCCAGGAACGGTCATCAAAGCCGGTAGGAACACTTTTAATGTACGTTGGTTCGTATTGTATTTTGAATGTGTGTTAAAATATGAGAAACGCTAAGAAACGTGAAATATAGAGGGTTGTGTACGTTATACGAAAACACTTTTGGAACCTCATTACGTTGTTATAGTCCATGCCATTACATCAGGTCATATTCTATCTGACGACCAGGAATAATGGCAATAGCTCTGAATCGCAGTTTTCATGGCAACTCTGTTGTAAGGTTGTCATGTTAAAAGAACATAACTTTCCCGTGCTTTCCACAATCCATCGATGTAATGGTTTTCCAGTGTCTATTTTAACTGTCCGGTCACACAGGAACAAATAGGCTCTGCTTCCGGGATATTTAACTGGTATATTTTCGTATGCAATAGTATGAATACCTGTCTGAGCGAGAGGTATTATTGGAAGCCTTATCTTGGTGAACCCATACAACAGCGGCTTTGTTTCCAGGTGTAGATCCTTCTTGATTGTGTTGCATACTGTTGCTTGGAGCACGAGGACGGATATTGCAACTGACATTTTCGCTTGAGGATTCTCACTGAATAAAAGTCACCGCATTTTGATTACCAAGGCTGGGGTACGACTTGTTGGAGGGCTCTTTCTGGATGGCTCTGGGTTCCCAAGTTGATCCTTATTCCGTTTTTTTTACAATGCTATTAAACACAGAGAATATCCACGTCTTGGAAATACTAAATTCCCGATCTGATTGTTGGTTTGTTTTTG